TGTAACGCCACAAGATTATCTTTCGGATAAATAAAATTCATGTCAATCGAATAATCCATCGTTGTTTTATTGCTTAAAGTTCTATACATCGAAAAAAAAACACCACTTACAAAGTGCTCCTTAGTTATGTTTCTGAAAGAATCATTATTCTGGCCCATGACTATTATTTAAAATAATTTATTAGTTCGCTCATCATTACTTACAAAAATTTCGAATAACTCCAAACCAGCATTTTTTTTACTTTAAACAAAACTTTACTACGAATTGTTTAAAAAATGTAATTTTTGCCCAAAAAATTAAAAGTATCCTCACAAAAAGAAGTTTGTGGGCAATGTAGAACTTCGGTAAAGAATAATTAATTTTTTCAGTAGCAATTTTAACAACCCAATGAAAAGTATTTGTGGTTTAAATTTCGTTTAACCGTTTCGGAGATAATTAGAAAAAACTCCTTTTTGTGGTCCCTTTTACACAAATTTTATGAACGTTTTTGAAACGTCCAGTACACTTTTTATTTGGGATTATTTAGGTAGGTAAGTTTTAAACCACGGAGTTGGGTAAATGGGACAAAAGTTTCGTATTTGCCCTGAAGCTACCAAAATTAAACTATCCGAGGTGGATTGAGGAATATTTTAGAAAAACCAAATTCTTTCATGTTAGTGTTGCCTACCTAGCTCATTTATTTCCAATTTGGAAAAGAAAAAGTCCCAAATTAGTTTTTTCGGAATTCAGTTGTTTTGTCTACACGGGGTCCCAATTTGAAAATATTTCTGTCAACGCTGAAATTAAATTTTGATTCTAAATTCTACAACTAAAGTAATTTTTTGTCCTAAAACTGGGAATAATATATATATTTTTTTAATATTTCTTAGTATTTTGCACCTGCGTACCCTGTATATGAGGCTGTTTTTTAAAATTTCTTCGCACTGTCACACCGAAACAGACCCCCTCACCCGCCCCCATTCCTACGCTTGCGCGAACGCGAACGATTTCCGTTATAAATACCCCGTATCCTCTTTTAATTAAAACCGGAAGTGTAACGTTCGCCAAAAAATATATTACGCGTCATGTATATAGAAGAAGAGGGCTTTAGCCTCCCCCGCAAGGAACCGAAGGCCTATAGACTTATTCCGGGGGGGTGGGCGTCGCGGCGGCGGCGGCGGCGGCACCGCCGTTCCCGTTACAAGATAAGACAGTGCGATCTGCCCGCGCTCTACGAGCGCAGCCAACCAGAAACTAATGATAAGGGCTGAAGGAAGTCAAACAGAGGCGGGGATTTCGAGGGATCCTTCGTGGCGGCGGCAAAGCAGAGGTGTCGGTTCGCGTGGGGGGGATTATTTTTAAGAGATGGGAACGTTTGTTTCTGACGCTCGGTTTTTCGGGGAATCTGATTGACGCGGAAAATCCTAACTCGATTAACAGTTTAAGCTCCTCGTCGAAAAAAAGAATGTCTCGCTCTCAGTCATATTTTTGAGATTTTTCAATACCTAATACCAGTCAAGTTTATTTCTATTTATAACCTAATTTTAAAATAATAATTATTATTAAAGGGCGGAGTTTATGCACTTAATTTTAACCAACATATGGGACATTTACAATATGTTTTTTTCTACCACAGTGGACTCTTATTTTAAGAAAAATATATTTGACAAAAATCTAAAATTTATGTGTATTCGTAGGTTTACTAATGGACTTTCTTCTTTCTAAGCGTGGATTCATGGAGCCATGATGTGTTTATAATATTTTGTGGCGACCAGACGAGGCCTTGTCGAAAATTTTCTTTTTTAGATTACGATTTTTCTTCAACGTTTGGAAATTCGTTTTTTACACTCTGCTGAACTGAAAAAAGTGCGTTTCTTTTATACTCTTAACTTAAATTTATACTATTTTATATTGCTACGTTTTTAAATTGACAAAAATTGTTAATGTTCGTCAAACGCGACGGTGAAAATTAAAAAAGTCACTCCGTTTAAAACTTAACGATGTTTCCAATTTATTTCGTTCAAAATATCAAAGACGATACTATCTACTAATACCACTCACTATACACTCGGCTAATAATTTATTTCTATTTATTCGCGAGAATTATTTATATAGGCGAGGTTGCGGCGCCTCTTTTTAACTAACTGACAAGCGTGCGCGGCAGCCCGCTTCTATGAATCAGTTCTTTGAACGCAGACGGGGCCGGCTAGGTTCGGGATCAGCCTATAAGGCTCGTCTTCACAATAAGTATAATTTCTTCGCTATGTATATCGTAATTCCTCTATAGGTTACAATTCCGACAATACTGAAAGTAATAATAATAATAATAATAAGCTATTATCTTGATTCGGGTTTAAAGGCCGTCGTCGATTGGCATTACTTCCTAACGTTTCGCTAGCACGAGTGGCGAGCTTCTTCAGAGGTCCTTCCATCTCCGATGTTGGACGTAGACTCGAGACAACATCGGAGATGGAAGGACCTCTGAAGAAGCTCGCCACTCGTGCTAGCGAAACGTTAGGAAGTAATTCCAATCGACGACGGCCTTTAAACCCGAATCAAGATAATCAACGGGCCGCGAAAGCCTTAACCAATTTATCAATAATAATAATAGTCTTCATGGAGAATAGAGATACATAATATACATAATACACAGATACAATACTAAAATCTCAAAAGGCAAAGTCTAGCTGACTAAGTCAGCTACTCAACATTACCCCAACACAATTAATATATCCCAACCCAATCAGCACTTTCATTATCTAATAACACGCCTTTAATGTTCTTTTGTTCTTCAGAAACAGTTTTAAACATGGTAAGGCAAAGAAATGTCTATGCTGATATACCTTAGCGTATTCTCCCTAATATTTACATTGTGAGTTCCACAGCGAAAAATTAACTTATCTTTTAAATAGGGAGGGCTAGAAGACTTTAAGATCTGGTATATTAACAGCGAGTAGGTATTGACTATTCTCAAACACTGCAACAATTTAGTTTTAAGGGACACGTCTTTGTCATTTTGTCATACACAAAAATACAACAATTGTTTTGTATATTTGTAGTGTTAAACATGGGTAAAACAACACGAGGCAATATGACAATGCAGACATAATATATGACTCACAGAGTTTTTTCCCAACTTTAAAGTTCAATACGAGCTAATTGGCATATAGAGTCTTGAGTAAAAGCTAAGTTCTTTTACTTAAATTTTAAATGTGGTCACTTAATGATGCGTCCACTGTTACTCCTAAGTTTTTGGCCTTTTGGTAGCAAACAACAAGGGTTGCCCAATTATCTCAAGATGCAAGTATCTTTCCAACAAGTGCGAAGCAAAGAGTAGCACCTGAGTTTTAGCCACATTTAACCGTCAAGCATATCTCTCACTATAAGAAAAACGCTGCTGCACATCGAAATTAATATCTGCTTCGGCCTCATCATAATGACTGAGATTTCGAAAACTGCTGCGCGGTACCCAAATCAAATATATGCAGTAAAAATAATAGTGGCCCCAAGATTAATCCTTGAGGCATCCCTGATACCACTCACCAACTGTTGTGAAAGTCTTTCCACAAACTAAAACAGAAGTACATTAGTATTGAAAACTGATATATAACCTATGCGCCTTTAGAACCGGAAACATGAAAATATGCTGATGAAATACCCCATTAATTTCAGTAGGAGAAGTTCAATTAGTTATTTATTTTTTAGAATTAGTTTTGGTTAGTTTACTTGACACGACCGGAGCACAGCGGAGCGAGTGTTTCATAAACAAGTGACTTATATACTTTTTCTACTCCCGTCTGTAAAATACCTAATTACCCACCGATCTAGCGTGCGGGAAGCGTCACTTTACCACGTCAGTTTCGTTTCCCACGAATCAGAGCCACTTCTGACATTTCCTGGATTTTACCGCACGGATTTGGGAACAATCGAATGTTTTCGGAGATATTTCCCACGCTTTGAATTTTGACGTTTGTCAAATTTGACGGTCATGTCAGTGAATGTATTCGTGCTGTTTTGCGAAAATGTACTCAAAAACTAATGGTCGTAGAAAAACTATAGTATGCAACACGTTCGGTAATAGTATATTATGCAACAAGTGCGGTAAATTTCACTCACGAGTTTATTTGACACGAGCGGAGCGCAGCGGAACGAGTGTTTAATAAACGAGTGAGTTAAAAAGTTTACCGAACGTGTTGCATACTATACTTTTTCTAAGACTATTAGTTTTTGGGCACATTTTCGCAAAACAACACGAATACATTCACTGACATGACCGTCAGAATTGACAAACGTCAAAACTCAAAGGGTGGGAAATATCTCCGAAAACATCTTATTGCTTCCAAATCCGAAGTGGCTCGGATTCATGGGAAACGTAACTGACGTGGTAAAGTGACGCTTCCCGCACGCTAGATCGGTGGATAATTAGGTATTTTACAGACGGGACGGCGCTCCGCTCGTGTCAAATAAACGCGTGAGTCAAATGACGTTACCGCACTTGTTGCATAATATACTATTTCCGACGACCGTTAGTTTTTGGGTACATTTTGACAAACGTCAAAATTCAAAGCGTGGGAAATATTCCCGAAAACATCCGATTGCTCCCAAACACGTGCGGTAAAATTCCAGAAATGTCCGAAGTGGTTCGGATCCGTGGCAAAGGAAACTGACGCGGTAATTAGGTATTTTACAGACGGGAGCAGAAAAAATATTTTTCAATTTCACAGCTATAATATTGGTCTTACTGATTGCATCACGATCTTGACGAATGGCGGATGCGCAGGTTTAACGTAAATGAAAAGGCATGAACCATCAAATGTGGAATGGAATAGATTTGCCGTGTTTCCTTGAAGAGTGCTTTAGAAAAAAATATTTTATTGTCGAAAAATAATGATTCCAGAACACAACAATAATAGAATAGATTTGCATAGGTTTTTTTTTTATTATAAGAACATTTATGCGATAAACCATTCAAATTTTGTGTATATTGCGAATACAACGAATTGCCAAGAGTAATATTGCAGTTATAGATCTAGACGGGCTCAATTCGGACGAAACCAATTCGGGCGACAACTCAAACGCAGGATCGAGCATAGGACCTGACGATGACCAGGCACGACTGCGTCTGAAACGTAAGCTGCAAAGGAATCGGACTTCGTTCACGAACGATCAAATCGACAGTCTTGAAAAAGGTATGTTTGTCTTTAAGCGCTTGCCTTTAAACTCATTCACGGTTCTAGTTTATAATGCAGTGTATACCTTTTTTGTATTATCCTTACTTTTACGAAATGTGATAGGTATAAAAAGAAAGAATTCTAAGCGCTTTGAAAAAAAATCAAAATGAGAGCTTCAAAAATTCATTTTTGAAGCTGTTCGAAGATTATGTAGGTATATGCTATTTACACACGAAACATTTATAACTAGAACACCGAAAACTGAAAACAAAAGGCTATTTTTTTTCAAGGTTTTTATCGTTGTAACAGGTACCTCTTTCTATTTCAGAATTTGAGCGAACACATTATCCGGACGTGTTCGCGCGCGAGAGGTTAGCGGCGAAGATAGGATTGCCGGAAGCGCGGATCCAAGTATGGTTCTCCAACCGGAGGGCCAAATGGAGACGCGAAGAAAAACTGAGGAACCAAAGAAGGGGTACCGGGAGTGTCGATCAACCCGGACCGCCATCATCTCCACCCAGATTGCAGTCGTTCGGTAACCCAAGCGCATCGATGTATTCCCCTATTGCGCCGCCTATGTCTATAGCCGACAGCTACAGGTACTATACTTTTCGAGTTTTATGTCGCTGTTCAACATTTGCAAACTATAAAACCGAACAACCAATCGACAATCAGAGCGACGAATGACGTCACTGGTTGCGCTGGGCACCTGGCAGAGATCCGTTTTTCGTTGCAGCTCGATGTCTCCCATGAGCAATTTCAGTCACACGGGGTTGGCGACCACGATGGGACCGTCGCCGGGTGCGTGTTTGCAACAACGCGAGAGCCCCACCATGGGCGGAGCCATGGGGGGCTACTGCATGGGTAGACCTACAGGGTACGATATAGGGATCGGGTACGGGTCGAGGCCGTCACCCTGTAGTCCGGCGCAACCTTATCAGATGAACGGGCATCAGTACAATACGAATGGTACCTCTACAGGTATATTTTTTCCGATTTTTGCTTTTTGCTTGATGAATAGGTTATTACTATTATAGCGAATATTTTTTCCGTGTGATACTCGAGCCCAAGAATCACGTGTTAAACTATGCAATGTGAATTCGACAACACCCTGTATATCCGTCGAAAAAAATATAGAGCATATTTTTTTGAGACGTTGACTAGGTTATATCACCGTTTCAATAAATTTTTTCAAGCTTTATTTCTTTTGTATTGATTTTGGCATAATTCATAAAGGAAAAAAATCGCATGAATTGGAAATTAATAATAAATTGAAAAGGACTACGGATACTTAATTCTTTTTTTTTTTCGTCAGTTGGTCGCCCTGTAGTGAACTCCCTCTCAGGACTGCCAACATGAATTAAACAACAAAATAGTACGATAATTAGTATTCAAGGTCCAGTTTATTTTTTTAGTTTCAATAGTCAATATGATTTATTTTATTTTGTTTCATTTCATATCTAAAATCGGTAGAAATACATACCGGCACGCAAATCGTACTAAATTATGTAAATAATGTTATAATATTTATATTAAAGTTCACAGACAGAATTTTTTATCTCTGCTTCTTCACATTGTTATAAAATGTATGATCTTTGGTCCACCATCAAGCATAATCCTTGATTTACTGATGTAGGTTAAAAAATTGCTTGGTGGCATTTTTTTTTAGTTTCATCTATTCATTTATCATATATATCATTTCCAGGATTAATTTCTCCTGGTGTATCGGTACCGATCGCGGTTCCGGGTCAAACGGATATGGCGTCCCAGTACTGGCCGCGTATTCAGTGACCTTGGTGGAACTAATCAGTCGACTATCATCGGGCCGTCGATATTTCAAAAGTGTCCCTCACCCACTCGTCGACCGGTCGTTAATTTGCATTTATTTTTACCTTTGTAACTATGTAAAGAGCTTATCCAAAACAAAGATATTATTGTACAAAAGGTTTTTTCAAAAGACGCTGACGATTTTTGGACGAAACGGGCGACTGTGCAAATCCGACAGAAATAAAATGTTTGCAAAGTCTGTCAAATACTAGTATATCGTTTCGAATTGAAAGTGATCATCCATGTATAAGTTTCGTCGTTAAAGATTTAATTCCAAAGAAAACGTATACAGGGCGTCGTCATTTGTTACAAACCAGTAAAATGTTTTACTTTTTAAGATAAAGTATAGATTTTTTTTGTTTTCAAAGGCAGTCGAAAAGCGCATCCAACTTATTTTTATAACCACGATTTTTAACAGAACCAATTGGGGTTTTCTTTATTTAACGGAATGTGTTCCTATTTTTACACGACCTCCAAAGCAAAAATCAATCAATAAGTAAATTTTAAACCCACGATCTAAATAATCAAATTTACCAAAGCTTTCTGTTATATTAAAAATCGAAGATATTAGAAAATCGCAGTAGGCAGCGAATTCGCATTTTTCGTCGCTCTTTTGAAACAAAAATATCAGCCATCTTTAAAAACAAAAATTTTACAAATTTGTAGGCAAATAAATATAGCCACCCTGTATATTCACGGGAGGATATTGCAATAAAAAGTTTGTGCCCGCCCCCCCCTCAACATGCTCCCAATTGATTATTATTGTTAGCGTAACATAAGAACGTGTATATTTTTTAAATCATCCGACATTATCTGCGAGTATTTTCGATCCGCCATTTTTCCGTTTTGTAAATGTGATCTCCCTCGTCTTACTGAACATAGCATATTTTATTTAATATATTGTATAGACATATCCAAATAAATTTTACATTTCTTGTGTGTACGTGATTTTTCGAACAGCTTTGGCGTTTTCGTTGGCCAACTTCAAAACCGGTTTGACGTTTTACATCTACGTCTTTTTTTCTTTATACATTTAATTGTAAAATTATCGTTGCTCTATTTGTGGCAAAGTAATGTGCCAGATTGCCCAAAAATGATGCGTTCATTTGAACTACTCTGTATTCAATAAGACCAACTCTCTGTTATGCTATATTGAGCATGATTTGCAATTTTCTCCAAAAATTGGTAAATTCGTTACATGGGAGCACAAACGCCGCGCTCTACCGTTATAATGGGTTATTTTAAAAACGACCTTCAAACAGAGGATTTGAAGTGTTCTGGTTATTGAAATAACATTTTTATGAAAGGAAGAAAAAACACCGGAAAACTTGCAGAATATATTCCATTTTTCTGTTTTAAACGCTGAACATTGGACGGCAAATTGATCACTCGAATAAAATAAATAAATAATCTAAATATACTCAACAAGTAACAAAAATGAGATCAAACGACGCGGCTGTGCCCTCCCTACCCTCCAATCTATTCCACATTTAAATATGGCTTAACGTCATTGACCACAACCAGTCTTCTCTGGTCAACTGGTTCCGAACACATCGGGCACGACTCCTCGGTCTTCAAAATCCTTAAAAAAATATATATATACAGGGTTTTTCACTTAAAACTCCGCACGCCAATAAGTCCAAAACGAAAAGAAATATTTCATTTATGTAAAAAGTAGTCAAAGTGTGGGGTCAAGTAGATATTTCCCAAAGTTTAAAAAATTCGACGCCTGCAAAGAGCTGGGCGTCGCGACGCGTCGAAAAATTATTCGATTGCAGAGACTTTGGAAATACGCGCATACAAAAGTACATATTATTTAAAAACTTTTTTGTTATTTACTCAAACTTATTTACTTTACCCGTTTCTAAGTTATACCGATTTAAAGTAAACATTTCTTGATTAATAAAAAATGTGATTAACGCTTATTTTTACAAGTTCGAAGTGTTTTCGGAGCGCGAGCATTGAAGATGCCAAGTGAGATTTTGGCGAAACGTCTGCAGGATTCCAGTCGGATGCAGGATTTGCAGGATTCCAGTCGGAGTTCAACGAGCGAACGAATGATATCCCGGAATATAGTGTCATCACATTTTTCCATCCGTGAATCAATACGTGAAAATATATCTATATATATATATATATATATATATATATATATATATATATATATATATATATATATATATATATATATATATATATATATATATATATATATATATATATATATTCTGATATCAAGAAAAAACTAAAAATCTACGAACGGACAAATGTACCAATAACTAACTTCATGCATTTATTAAATACCATCAAAACTTAAACTTAACCTGTTAAACTTCTTAAATATTGTTATTGACATAGTACTGGATGGGCCAGGTTTTTTTTTATATCCATTTTAACATTATTCTAAATCGTTTATCAAAGTCAGCTTGCGTTTGAGTGTCAAAAGGCATTTTTCAGACACTTTTTTACATATCATTTTCTTTTAATTTCAATTACCCTGTATCTCGAATTTTTTTTTTTTTCATTAAGAAAAAGCATATATATATATATATATATATATATATATATATATATATATATATATATATATATATATATATATATGCTTTTTCTTAATGAAAAAAAAAAAATTCGAGATACAGGGTAATTGAAATTAAAAGAAAATGATATGTAAAAAAGTGTCTGAAAAATGCCTTTTGACACTCAAACGCAAGCTGACTTTGATAAACGATTTAGAATAATGTTAAAATGGATATAAAAAAAAACCTGGCCCATCCAGTACTATGTCAATAACAATATAAAATGGATGATCATTGAGTACGCTCCAATATTTAAGAAGTTTAACAGGTTAAGTTTAAGTTTTGATGGTATTTAATAAATGCATGAAGTTAGTTATTGGTACATTTGTCCGTTCGTAGATTTTTAGTTTTTTCTTGATATCAGAAACATTTTTTTAAGATTTTTCTTGCTTGATCTCAATGCGAAAAAAGCATTTTCCTTTTCTATAACTTTAGCAACTTTTAAAACTAACTCCTCACTCCTGTTTTTTTTTTTGTCGAAATATACTTATAGTGATCACACAGTGCCTTTATTGCAAAGAATTACACTTACTCGATAAACTCGTCTCTCAATGCCGGAAAATCGCAATTCGGGCAGTAGGTCAAATTTTCGGAGGTGATGTGGCGACCCTGGACGTGCGAAAATTAAGAAAAGCACCGAGAGCAACAACAAAAAAACAACTTACGGTTACAATACAAAACGGTAGCGTGCTCTTGCAGTTGCCACATGTGACGTCAGACTCGGGCAACGATTTCTCACAGAAAGGACAAGGGGTTGAGGGTTCGACGGGATCGCCGGTGTCGCCACCTTCTTTGCCGTTTTTCGGCGGCCTTCTGACCACCGCCTCGATTTTTTTCGCGTACTTCGGATCGATTTGCTTCCTATAGTCCGGATTCATGAGAGTGGTGGCGTAACGGTACGCGGCGTGCCTCAATCCGGCCCTGTGGCACTCGATCACGGTTGAGGTCAGGATCGGCACCACATCTATGTAGATACATCGAAAAAACATCAATTTTTTGGGCAAGTGGCGCCTTATTTTTTCGTCTAACCTTAACATTGCTTTTCAATAAGCAATTGAGATTCCTCAAAAATGTCTCCTTTTTTAGAAAAAAAAAACCTTAAACCTACTGTTCTAACTTTTTTTTTAATTTTTAAAATAAAAACCGATAAACGTTTTCAAAAATATAATTTTATTTTGAACAATGTAAGCCATGCAGAGTTTCAAAAGCACATCTAAAAAAAGATTTTAAATTCTGCAACATGGACAACCTAACGTCGTTTTATTTTTATTGTGTTTTTAATAGAAAGTAATGAGGCTTTAAGAAAAAACTTGGAATAAAATATCTTCCCCATTTTTTTTTTCAAAATAAAAGCGACTTAAGTTCTCAAAGAATTGGATCAATTTCTAATTGTAATTTTACCAAAGAGTTATCTTGGTGTTATGCGTCAAAAAGTGTTTTTGGTTTCAAATGTTTAGAGAAGGAATCTCAGGGTCATAACACCCATTATGACGGTCGCAGTCTAGTATCCGAGAAAAAATGTTGGTAGGTTAGAATAATGACATCAGCGGTGAAGGATAACCACAAAAATGAAATAACTGAAGCAGGGGTGTTTTTCATTCATCTACAAGCACTAAAAAAGGTTCCGAACTAATTTTTGGCATGAACCACCAACATAATTAGACACTAAATTTGGACACTATACTGATACGGTTTTAAATTATCGAACACCCTGTATATTCAACTTCTGCGCCAAACTTACGCGAGGGAAACTTGGATATGTTATCGGCGACGCGGATCAGCAACCGTGCTCCTTTCGAGTGGTCGCCCCGCCTCACGTGCAGCCTGACCAAAATGTAACTGTGCAGCAACATCAGGTTTGAGTACATTTCGAGCGGCGTCTTGATGCTGTTCTGCCTCAGCTCCTGGCACATCGCGAACAGCACGTCGTGGGCGTTCCGATAGTTGCCGTTGATCTGCTCCTCGTTCGCAATGATCAGCGCCGATTTGGACGCCTCCTTGAACTGTTTCCGGGCCATATATAGCCTGAATAGGTACTTGGGATCTTTTGGCGTGCCGTCCGACTCGCCCAGCAGAAACTCGATCAGCGTGGCGGTCAGAGACTCGTCGTTGGCGGATGCAACGACATCGATCGCGGCACCGATCGCTCGTTTTTCGTTCGCTCCAGATTTAGCGGCTGTCAGCAGGTACTTCAACGCCTGCAATCACTCTCTGACAGCGTTATCGTCAAAAGTTAACGAACCAAGAAAGAGACGTCCTCGGCCGTCTTGGCTTGAGCATGGTTAGAATCAACTGAAGATTTTGTCGTGATTTTTTCTTGCTTCATAAAATAATTTGACTAACAATTAAAACTAACCATTCAAAATCTGTAAAATCACTCTCTTCGCCTCTTTTACCGCCATAAAAATATCAATGCATTTGGTGGCATAATTTTTAAAAATTTGGAGGTTATATAACATATATATGTCGACAACTGATCTTGCTTTAGTGTTGAATGTAACAAAGTGCCAAGAAAGAGTATGGAAAGAAACGAGAACTCTATGGTGGAGTCCTCCCTGAGAGGTAGCTTACTTTGTGATACTCCCGCGCGTGAAACCAATACTTCCCCGCCAGCAGGGAGTTTCGCTCGTTCTCGAAGTGAACCGCCAGGGGCACGAAATCGCGCGGTTTGACCTCGTCGTCGGTGAAACTGTTCAGCAGGATGTCGCCGTACAGTTCCGTCTTGCCATTCTTTTTCGCCAGCTCGAATGCTTCCTCGACGCACCGGGACAGCACGAGGAACCGGATGGCCGAACTCGTGTCGTTCAAGTTTTGGAAAAATCTACGAACCCGACAATTACTAGACTGCGCCTCTACTAATAGGTGATAATGTTTGGTGATATGGATACAAAATTTGAAAAATAATTTGAATATTGATATGATTTATTGAGGATTTCCGAGAATTTACATTGGAATTTTATGCAGTAGACCTTTTCAATATGATTTCAATAAAAGTTTGAAACGTCAAAAACTCAAATTTGGGAAGCACATCGGAAACGGAAACTTACTTAGCGACCATTTTCGCTCCCTCGACGCTCTTCGTCTCCTGCACTATTTCCACAGCAATTTCCGCATTATCGAGGCGCTCCAAGTGTAACCGCACCACCGAATCGAAATCTTTCGCCAACTCGTAAGCCTTAACCGCCTCGTCGTACCGTCCCTCCTCCTCTTTCGCCCTCGCGTACTGCAAGTGTATCTTGGCGGAGGTGACGTGCGGCAGCAATTCACCGACCTTGTTCCAGTTCTTCAGCGCTATGTAATTGGCTGCCGCGCGATCGAACTGCTCGCATTTCTCGAACAGTCGGGCGGCTTCGGCGAGTTGCCGCTTTTTGTCGAGAATTTCCGCACACTCGCGCAAGAGGTGCTTGTTGTCGAGCTCGACGGCCACGCCTACCCCGTACCTATAGTTGGCGCAATGCAACGCGGTCCGGGCTATGCCGGCCCTGCACACGTATGTATGCTCCTCGCTCAAGTTCTCTTGCAGACCCTTTTCGTAGTGCAACAGCGCTTCGGAATGATTGCCCCTGAAATATTACCCCACCCCTTGACGATACAATTAAATCACTTCAAAATCGAAACTATATGTTCAAAACTGAAATGAAAAGGGAGTTTCAGCTGGAACTACCTCGGAAAAAGTGCAGGAACCACTTCAATAATGCAGTTATACACTCACAGAAACTCCAACTGCTGTGCGTACTCTCTCGAAATCATCGATATTTGCTCGGGGGCCATTTTCTTCGCTAGACGCAGGGCTTCGTCCCACTGCAACAGATCCCTGCGCATGTCCAGAGCGACCGTCGGTCTATTGGAGCTCAGGAACCAACGCTGCGCTTTGTCATAATCGTTGAGGTACATCGCGACGTAGCCGCACAGCAACCTCCATTCGTCGATTTCGAGTAGCCCCTCGAGCGATAGCACCATAGATACGTCCTTTAGTTCTTGGTAAACCTTTATGGCTTAAATAATTTATTCTTATACTATTTACAAAACTTCTGGTTCCCTCGTATGTCGGTTGTTGTTAAGTCGAACCTGCTAACGTTTCTCAAATATCCTGTTTCTGTTGAACAGTTAACAAGCAACAAGCAAGTTCGACTCAGCAAAAACTGACGCAGGAGGAATACAGAGGTTTTGTACATAGTGTTACAGTAGCCTGTGGAAATTTCTTTGAAAAAATTATTTATTCTTAAGAACGTTCTAGACCTACTATCAATATTTAAAAATTACATTTTCCGTGGAAACGTAACCTACAAAATTACCTGTTTCTATATCGAGATACTTTAGAGATTCCACGGCCAACTGAACCATCAGTTCCCTGGACTTAAGCGCTTTGCTCGTCGCCAAAGCCAATGAAAAACTACGACAACATCTTAAAAACGCCGCGTCGCCGATTTAAAAGTCGCGTTACCTGTGAAGCGCCAACTGTTTTTTGAAATTAGCCTCCAAAGCGACCGTGTCGCCCTCTCCGCCGTTCGAGTTACTCGGTTCGTGGGTGCTCAACGTCATTTGCGAAACTTGCCCGCTACTGGTAGCCAAAACCACGTCACCGTTGTACAACAAGAGCGGTATTTGCTTCGCCATCAACGAAGTCCGTCCAAGTTTTTTAACCGTAGCGCCGTCCATTGAAAACGACACGTAAAGGTAAGCGTGTATTTCGTGATCGTCCCAAATGATAAATAGATCCCGATTGGATGAGTCATTATCCCAGGCACCACCGGAAAATTTGTCGGGCGGCTCCGGTACCGGGATAAGTTCGTTTGTGACCTTCAACGAGACAATAGGCTAACGGTTCCGTCCTGTTTGCCAATATAAAAACCTTACGGCGTTATGAATGTGACAATTGTCTTTGACGTCGATAACGATCGATCTAGAGCCCGCGAGGTCACAGTACAACTGATCAACGGCCACTCCGTGTTTGAATTCGTTCGCCGTCGCCCAGTCTTCGATGTGAAAATGAACGATATGACCACCATCCGTGCCGTAAATCAAAAAATCGGTAGTCATTTCGTAACAAGTTATTTTAACAGCGTCGTTGATCGCGTCGGGGAAAGTAATGGTTTCTCTATCTTCATGGCACACCTGAGGTTGTTCTATCTAGAAATGTATAAAAAAAGGGCCTTTCCTGTATTTAATATGTAACTTAACTTGGCCTTAAATGTATACAGCCCGGTAGACACGATGCAATTTGCACATCTATTTTTACCAAATAAAAATTGCTGATAAAAATTATAACCGGCACTTTTTTGATAGTAGACACGAGAGAATTTTTTCATGCAAAATAAGCTTGATGTTGGTGGAATTTTGATTTTAATTATTGTTTTTTAAAATTTTGTTACAATAAATGATACTTTTTAGCGTCGGTTGGTGTTAAATCGCTAAACTTTATATAAAAACGTTTTTTTTTCTATTCCCTGCTGTAAAATACCTAATTATACACCTATATAGCGTGCAGGAAGCGTCACTTCACGGATCCGAGCCCCTTCGGAGATTTTACCGCTTGAATTTTGACGTTTTTCAATTCCGACGGTCGTCATTGAATGTGTTGGTGTTGCCTCGCAAAAATGTACCCAAAAACTAACGGTCGTAAAAAAAGTATAGTATGCAACACCTATGCTAAACTTTTTAAGTCACTCGTTTATTAAACAGTCGCTCCGCCCGTGCCACAAGTGCCGTTTGCCGCATTTGTGGCATAATACACTAATATACATGGTAAAAACATGTTTTCTTAAATTTACCCATTTAACGACGAAAAAGTCTAAAAATTCAAATCAAAATTTAAAAAACAACCTTTAGAAACAAAATTCGACCAAAATAATGAAGCTCATTTTGGTAGAAAAAATTGCATCCAGTATACCATACAAAAATTCCCAGTTAAAAATATATGCATGTTTAACAGCAATTTTTATCTATCTTGAGAAATTGCATCCTGTTTCAATGAATGTGTTCCGTGATAGGCAATGGAAAATATTTAACCATGGTTTTTATATTTGGAAATCTTTGAAGAAGACATTTTTAGATGAGATTTTTGCATTTGGTTACCAACTTATTTTGAATGTGCACAAAGTTTTGTTCAGCATTTATAACTGTAACTTAAAACCAGATATTGATAGGAAAATTCTAAACTTTAAACTGTTATATATCAGTTTCCACGGATGCACTTACCATATGAAGCTGGATTTTGCCTTCAAAAAGCACAGCAGCATATTCGGGATTTAGTTTGACATTACTAACACCTCCTAAATATTGCCTGTCTGTCAATTTTAACGGCATATCTTCAATATCAGGATCAGGTTTTGTCAAGTCATAAAACCAAACTCTATTATTCAAACCTGCCGCTAAATGATACTGTCCCACCGCTATAAAGGATGGCTCTGACTCCAAGTTAATAAATATGGGAGTCAACTTGGACTAAAATATGATGCAAAAGATAAACTAGTTGCAGGTGATATTACAAGTACCTTATCCGGTGTATAATTATAAAGACCAATTTCTGTTAGACTTGAGAGTATGGCGATACGAGGGGCGCAAATTGATGCGAGTAATTGCATGTGAGATACATATACATTCACAGAACCACCCCTGGTGCATACAGCTAATAGCTGGCCTTCTGGGCTCCAAGAAATTCTGCCTAGACCTGCTTCTTGAGGTAGATTTATTACACTAGAGGTTTCTTGAAGATTATTTAAGTCATGAAGCTTAACACTGCAAACAGTGGCCTGTTAAGGGGCAGAACTTCCAAAATCGTCAATGTTATACCTATTATCACCACAAGAGGCTGCTTTACTAATTACCTCACAGACACCAATGTCAGTCAGGATATTTTTATGGTTACGAATTTGAAACAGTTCCTGACCAACTTCCTTAACATGTGTGGAAATGGATATAAAGTACCCAGCCGAAAATCCTATTAAAATATACCCATCACCATACCACTTGTAGGTAACAATGTTGCCATAGTGCTGTTGAAATGCTAACTCAAATGGATTCTCTGGATCCAGTAAATTGTACAAGTATAATGTCCTCTTTCCCACTATAGCGCTCACCTTTAAAAATGAAACAACTAATCACTTAGGACTACCAAGCAAGTTTACATTATTTACAGTATTTTCTCCTGTTACTCTTTCATCTAATTTTAACTCTGCAAAGTGCATATCAGATGGTTCAGCCCTTAAAGTAATCGTTTTGAGTGTGTCGCCATCCACATTACTAATGGAGATGGTTTTATCCTCAGATCCTAAGGCAAGAAGATTATCTTTGTTCCAAGTACCACAGGTAATTTTCTTAGTGTGTTTTCCAATGATAGGTATTCTTCTAAAATTGGATTATCCACATTATTTATCAATAATGCATCAAATGTACACACCTTGAGGTATTATGGTTGTAAATAGAAACATTTCCCTTGGTGGTCCCTACTGCCAAAATGGGTCCTGTTTTAGCCCAGACCAGACAAGACATGTAATCTTTTAAACCCACATCCAATACAGTTTTTTTCAAATTGTTGGCATCCCACAAAATCAACTGTGATTGGCTAACGGCCGCCAGTAAATCGCCGTCAGGGTCCCAACCAAAGCTGGTACATAAACTAGAAGCATAAAAATTACAAAATCTAATATTTATTATTTTTCTTTATACTTTGGCAGGCGTATCCTCTCGGTAATTTCCCCATATCTATTAAAGATATTCACCATGCAATCAATGCCGGTAGTAGCTAAATACATCCCAGAGCTTTTTTGCCAGGATATGTATATATCGCCGTTTCCATGAGGCTGTTCTAGTCTGAATAGTAACTAAAAATTATTCTTGATAATACAACTTCTTTATATTTATAGCTAACAACACCCTTACCTTGTCGCTACTCATTCTGTAAAATTTGATGTTAATTCAAATCATTCCGTTTAAGTATAAACAATACAAACATTGGTTTATCTTTAATCAGTATCTTAGACTAGCAAAGTGATGTTTATGGTTGGTTTGGCACATGAAGAAATTGAGGTTACATATTGGATTGAACGGCACAATTTTCATTAATTTATTAAACAACTCTCTGCAATTATAGTTCCTTATAGCTACAATACAATCTTAGGAATAACTACAATACTTAAGAAAACATTCAAAAAATTGTGTTTTGTTTCCCAATAGCCTGAATTGTTTATAACACATTCTTTGTTTAAACATATGAAGTAGAATTTTCAACCTAACCTATTTTTTTACACTTATTCCTTTCAACATATTTGAAGTGAAATATATTAAATATGTCCAAAGCAAAGCGAGGTATAGTTAAAAAAGAAAGCGTCGTGCAAGCTGTAATTGTAGGCGATACCTTTGAGGACGAATTCGTACCCATTTCAGATGATGTGCCGTTGGTATAGCTCATTTAGATCATTGTTATTAAAAATACAGTGAAATTGGTTTTAGTGTCTTTTTCCGATTGTAAATAAACCCCTAATAGACTACACCCTTGAATTTTTATCATTGGGCGGAGTAGAAGAGACGTTTCTCTTTTGCTGCAATCATTTAGCTGAAATAAGAGCACATATCAAGTAAATAGATATTTGTGTGGATTCTGTTGCTTTAAAAAATGTGATTTAAGTCAGTGCATAGAAAATTCCATGGGATGGACGTTGACTATGAAAGTACAAATTATTGCGTCAGAAGGTTGCCGCTCTTTTGGGGATTGCCTGCGTGATCTAGACGCTAAGGGTTTGTTGCGTGGTGACTTCATTCTATTAGAGCCTGGGGTTATTTCAAATCTAAATTTACTACCTCTTTTTAAGAAGCACAGGTGGATATGAAAATTATTACAGGGTTAGTGTTGTTAGTGTATGTTTTTTAGAAGTGTCTGCAGTACAGATAAAGGCGCGGCTATGACTCTATTATTCCAAGAAGTGGGTCCCGGTTACTCAAGTCGATCGCCATTCGCAGAAACATTGATTGCAGTCAACCATAACAATAGAGTTTTGTATCACAAGAAGATATGCAAAGGGAAGGAGAAAAAGATAGAATTTCCTTTGGTATGCTGGAAAAGTGCAACTTTGTCAAATATATCGTGTATTTTAGGAAGTCTTTCTGGATAATCACACTGTATCGCTTCATTATAACCTCAAAGATACCCAAATAGCGATTTGTTCACCTTCGGTTTTGCCTCTCTTTTCTGATAATTTTGATTTTCAATCTAAAGATGATTTCATCAGAGGACTATTACTTAATGAGGAGATCATGGGAAGCACAATTTACTCCCATATAATAAAAGGTGATGGTTATGGTGGGGGAATTTGCAACTGGAGAATGTACCAATCGATAAGGTAATGTTTTTTTTATAAGGGAATGTGTTAATTAATTTTGAGTCAAATTTAAAGCTGGGAGCTGCATAATAGATGGATATATCCCTTAACATCTTCATTGCGACGGTAAGTTTAGCTCAGGTCATTTAAGGCTTTGGTCATTGAGGTCCCACCTTGTAGGAACCGACCCTTAGCCAATGATGTCATAATCGGCGAAAACACCAATATTGCAACTTTGGAAGGTCTTTGTAGAACAGTATTGGGATCCAATGTGGTTACAGGTGCCTCTGTTAAAATTGAGGATTCTTTTGTATTCGAAAACACTAAAATCGAGGATGGTGTTGTAATCACCCACAGCATTGTTGGACCTGACTGTCTTATTAAACAAAACAGTCGCATTACTGCCGGTAGTATTTTGGGCAAGGGCGTGGTCATAGAGGAAAACACATTTATCGAAAATTCGCTGGTCCAGGCGAATAAACCGGAAGATTGTGAGTATGAGTTCAGTCTTTGGTGTTTGATCAAGTTTTTGGGGTTTTCAAAACCACTTTATTGTGATAAAATAGCAATTATATAAAAAAAATTATTCCCTATTCTACCAGAACCATGCATTTTATGCGTGTTGTTTTATTTTTATACTGTCTTGTTAGACACTGAAGGAAGCGATTTTTTTTATGTCAGTTTGTTATATTTTCATATTACAACATATAGGTTGTTCCATACTTCACGCATTGCCTCTTAGGTGAGGAAAAGGATCATATTGGAGCGAGAGCGTATCGACTACGCGTGAGCGAATGCGAGAGCGATTTGCATCTGGACAAAATGCTGTCTAAAGAAATGTCGAAGCTTCATATAGGTGATTATGTCTGCGAGTCTGAGTCCGAAAGCGACGAGTTTACCGAGAGCGAGGACGAGCTGTCTTACACTCATTCGCCCCCACCCGATGATACCAAATGTAAATCTATTTTATCATGGAGTTCATATCACTGAAATGCACGTTTTAGTATTCTTCAACGAGGTTGTTGACAGCTTAACGAGGGGTTATGAGGATAAATTGGTTTGCGATAATCTCATTCTGGAAATCAATTCTTCTCGGTACGCTTACAATGTCACCGTTAAAGAGGTAAAGAAGCAGACGAAAGGACACCTTTTAAATAACTAGTAATAAAAGAAGTACGGTTTTGAAAGAAATTTTCAAGACAAAAGAAAGAAATGTGGACGAAAATTATTTCCTTTGTCTTTACCGCAGAAATAATTTCTAATGAAAAAATACCTACATATTTTTACCGCACCTTAATATCAATTCGACAAAACCACCACCAAGTAAAAATGACTTTTGCAAAAATAATTAAATTATCCAAAAATTAGAAAAGCAGCGGCCATTTATGCGGCCCACACATTCAAATGTATAGTTCGCTTAACGATCTACCATTTTTACGACGTAATCCTGTATTTAGCTTTGGTAGATTTTTATGAAGGGTTTAACCGCAGGCCTACCTCACTGGGTTTCTCTTTGTGACCCCTAATAGATTCCTAATTCCACAATAACGTTCAAGAATGTACTTCGTGCACAGAAATGCAGAAAGTGACGGATTTGTGGAGAATTTCGTCGGAGAGATTCCTCGATTATTGTTAGTCCATGCAGTGAAAAATCCATTCTTACTTTAAAATGTTTCGGAGTAAACTTAGCCATGAAACAATGTTAGAATCTTTATTAAAAAAAATGTTTTCCTACATGAAAATAATCACTATCGTCACTGGACTCGTCTCCCACATTAATAATTAATTCTCATCTAAATATATGATGAGGACGTTTTTAGCACGAATTTCTTGAATTTCTCGCAAATATCTTGTCTTGCACTCCGAAATTATTCTTGATTCCATCATAACTTGCCTCTTAGTGATGGTTTTGTTATAAAAACCAATTGTTCGTACAAACACACTCAAAGTCTCTTGGCAACAGTCGATGTTCAAAACACTACGCAACTCTTCATATATAGTTTTAATTGTTAAAACAATATTCTTCTGATACGCATCATATATCAACCGCCTCAGTATTAGGGGGCCATACTATTCACAACTATGTCACATACTGTGGCATACGGTGCTTTAGTCACCTCGGACGTTAATTTTATGGCTCCACTTTCCCCAAATGTCGATTTCTGAAACATAAATACATTTAAAATTACAATTTTGGCAGCAACCAGCGAATGTGTCCGAGTCTTTGACCATTTGAATTTGACTGATGATCATCATCAACGATTATTACGTCATCGACCACAATCTCAACTTCTTTGTAGTTAGACACTAAAAACTTTATATTGTTAGGCGAAATTTAATGCATTTTGTCACCGGCCACATTTCGGCCCGCTTACGCTCTTAAGTTTGTTGATTTTTCCTAAAATTATATTAGGATCGGGTCGCGCTAAAAATTTGCAAAGAGCCGCAAGTTGCCTGCCCATGAATAGAAAAATAAAATTTTGTTTTGGTTATTGGCAATCGCACCTAACAAATTGGTTTAACGTGAGCAACTTTGAGAATCGAATAACTGACGGACAAAAACCAACTGATTATTTTTGTTGGTTTGAAATTTTGCGTTGAACATTGTAATTTTTTAAAAATTAAGAAATTTGGTAACTAATGTTAAAAACACATTAAACATTGCGAAGTTGACTACGGAATGTGAGTTTATGTCGATCTAATTACTTCTAGGTTAATTTTAACGTTATCAAAGCAATATTGAGTATGTCGGAAAAATTACCGGGTGGCGAAAAATATTTCACTCAGTTGAGCCAAATGCTGTCGTATTTCGCACCGGTTTTGAGGAATTACATAAAAAACGAAAGTGCCATGATCGACTGTCTTCAGGCTGTTGAGGTACGGTTGAGTTTTGTTTGGGAGCGAAATTCAAGTATTTAATTCGGATTTTTAGGATGTGTTCAATTCGCATGAAAACCTTCAAGAAAAATGGGTAATATTTGTGCTGAAATACTTTTACGAAAAAGATTACGTTACCGAGGACGCCATATTGGATTGGTTCTCAACTGTCAAAGTAGCGTCAAATCTTCATACTCAAGTGAAGCCTTTCACGGATTGGCTCCAGCAGGCTGAAGAGGCGTCCTCTTCGGAAGACGAGTGAATGTGCCTTCGTTAAATAAAAATATTTAACGGGAAGGTGTGTGTTTTTTTTAATTTTAATGACATTAATAGAGTATAACAGTTTAGGCACAAATTCGTATCAATAAATGTAAATTTAACGCATCTAGGCATCTTTTAGGAAAATACTGCCGTAAAAATGCACATCCAAACGTAGTATCCATCTGTCAGCGGCCATATTGGTTGTTGAATGCCTAAATGTTATTGAAGAAATGGACGTTCCCAAAAATTTTTTCATAGTTGCTTGATAAGTTATTGTATTATCGACGTACGAGTTAAGTTGATAACTAAAATATAAATTTTGAAAAAAAAAAGACTAAAAACTATAAAACTATTGTCACAACTTGTTACGTAACCATATAATATAAATTAGTAACTTTGTTCCAAAAATACTGTACTCAGATTGGGTTTACGAAATTTGTATTTTATTGGCTATCATACAATCAAAACCATGCGACCGACGTACATCATTGAATATTCAATATGATAATAGGCTATTTCCACATAAGATTTTTATTTGTCAGAAATGTTTATTAGTGGACTTAGAAAACACCTGCCAAATATTTTAGAAATCCACCAACTCAGAAAATTGAAAGGCATTTTCCTGCCCCTAATTTTAATTTATGCCTCAAATTTAAAATTCATGCAAGGACCTGTTCATTAGAATCTTCGTTATTTTCCCCTATCATCGTGAGCTTTTCGTTGGGATCACATTGAGTTAAATCAAGAACCCTAAAAATTGTTCGCCCGTTCAAAACGAGCCTATTTTACGTCACATGTTAATGATTTTCCGCTACGGACGGAAAGATGGCGGGACCATACCCAAAATGAAATTCATTCTTTTAACAGTGGTCATTGCAGTTCGCGATTAGATTTTTGGGAGCGAGCGAATTTTGTTTATACATCTCAGTCGTATTTTCAAAAATTAATAAAGGAACCGTTCAGGAAACACTCGAATTCGAGAAAGCCTAAAGGACTCGGATTCATAGCGCCGTATCTGCGATTATCGCCGCGATTATTTCGTCCATTAAACTACCCGCCAACTTCATATGAAACTTGTTTAATTAAACTAATTCTTACGGTCGTTAAAATAATGTTCGGAACGGGCCCGCACCCGCGGCCCGTACTTAGGTACCGGTTAAAATTCGCATTAAAATGATAATTTTAATTAAAAACATATCGCAAAATGCAAATCGCACTTTTTAGCCGTATAATTAAAACACGGCTAATCTAAATTTTAATGTCCCCCTCCACTACCATACATTGTTATTTCCCTGCCGCGCTTTCCAGTCGTTCGAAAATTTCTTAATAAATGTTAAACGCGTACAGGGTGGTCGTGGTGTACATTTCAAATGTCGGTTCTTCGACTTCGATGTACGGGATGTTCAGAATCGCTTTTTCGTATTGTTGGATTTTATTGAAAAGGTGCGACATTTAAAAAGCTTCCAGTTTTTTTCCTTCCAGAAATTTATCATTAGCATTAGTAAGTAAATATTTTTGATAACAAAAAATAAAACGCCACTGAAACAATTGCATCAAATAAGGAATTTGGCTTTCGACATTTTGAGGCCTCATCCTGAAAAGCAGCTTCTTTTTTGAAATATATAAGCTATGCCATAAAATATTTAAAAATACAATTTCTACGTTTTAAAATTAACGAGTTTAAAAAGAACCGGCCTCAATTTTCATGCGGAACATTTTTATAATGAGATATGCAGGCCCGAAGCTATGAGGCAAAAGGCGAAGGCAAATGCGACGCGAAAGATAAAACAAATTTTAAATGCGATTTGTTTGTGAAATTAAAAACCACGGAATTTATTCGATTAAGAAAAATATCCGACCTGAATTACTTTTCTTTGTTGCGTTCTAAACGCGATAACAATAAACTTATAATACCACAAATCGAAAAATTTCTTAAAAAGTTATTTAGAGTTAAGAGTGGCTAAGAGGTAAACCTCAAAATACCTGTCTGAATATCTGAGTGTTTGTGGCCTCTAGAACGAACAAGAAAAATTTCACCAAATTATGTCGGGAACCATTGGAATAATCGGTTAAAAAATTGTGTGGTTTGATTTAAAATTTTGATTTAATTGAATCGGTAGAGGCGTAGTGCCTATCGTTTTGTGAATTAGTGCTTGTTTTATGCAGATGGATTTTTATGGGGTATTGATCGGTTGCCCGATTTCTCATATTCACGCTGGTATCCAAGCCATATGGGCTCGGACATCCCGTATGAGATAATAGAGACTTGGCCCATTTCTTTTGTTTTACTGAAATGTGTGTTTATATATTATTATAATTATACTGAATATGAACCCTTAAATCGCAATCTGTACGTATTTCACAAACAATAATTAAAGTTGGAATCGCCGCCGGGCATATTCAAACAAAGTAAAATGGGCGGCAGCCGGTGTGACGTCACACCGCAGGAAACTACACGGCACGTTACGAGTATAACAGCCATTTCAAGCATTTCTCATTGATTTTTTACCAAATTTGCATATTTAGTCACGGTTTTTAAGTGTTTAAGGTACAATTTTTGTATTTATTATGGAGACTATCGTTCCTTTTTGTACGAGTTCAACTGTGCAAAATTCAAATAAAATTTTCGTTCGGTTCGGGAAGATAAAAAGTGACGAATAAAATGGCTAAAATTATGCAGAAGTGGTGTAGAGGATTATTCTACAAAGAACACAAATATTCACGTTTGTGAAGATCATTACAACGTAAGAAGTATAAATACCTAAATATAAATAATTGGGGTAATTCCTACAATATATTTTCTATTACATACATACCTAAATATAAAAAATATCTAGATACTGTTTTATTTTTTTTAATTTTATTTTTTTTATTTTTATTTAGATATAGGTAACTAATTATCTGGTAAACGAATTAGTTAGGTATATTATGTAAGTTACTTTTTTGTTTCAGGTATAAAGGTTAAACTAATGGGTGTTAAAAAATTAATGAAACCTGATGTAGTTCCTCACATTTTTTACTGCCAGCCAGACAAAAAAGAACATTTTCAGTTCCTCCAAGAGCAGCTGCTTGAAGGGCAAATAAAAGGCTTATTGATGAAGCCGTAGCTTCCTGTTCTACTACAATATTATCAGAAATACTACAAACTAGTGTCAGTCTTAAAAGCAACCCCCAACCAAGTGTTTTCTTAAAATTTTTGTGTTAACGTTAGCTTGTCTCGAATTAAATTTTTATTTTTAATATTTGTAATAAAAATATCAATTAAAAACGAGAATGTAATCTACTAAAAAATATGTACGACAGACCCTTAAGTTTGAATAGTAGTGAAAATCGTTTCAATGAAAATGATGGTGACAGTGACTTTTTGTTAGCACTTAGTGAAGCTTGTAGTAGTAATCATAGTGAAAAGAGTGAAGCACTTTCTGATAAAAAGAAACATTTAAAAGTATATGCTTACGCTCTACAGTAATGAAGCTGCAAAATATGCCTAGGTTATATTTGGGCTTACATGATGTATATTATGTATGGCGTTTGCTTGAAAAATGCTGTAAAATGCATTTATTTTTTATTTTAAAAAATAGAACCAGAAGTACATTAGTTTGTTTAGGAAATGACTTTGGAACAAGCGACGGTAATTCTTTTAAAATATTCTCCTAAAATCTTAATAAAATAACAGTAATATTTAAATAATTCAGCTGATAAAAGCTGGTAACGTGAAGTTAAGTTTAATTTAACCACAAAGTTAAAAGTTGGACAACTCTAAAATTGAATTGAATCTTAAATTAAAATATTCTATAAAAAAATATAAATTATGGAACTATTTAAATTAAATTAAATCTCTGTACCGATAAACTCACCTTAAGCTTGCTAGCTTTTACATCAACTTCAGCTTGAGAAAAATCCTCTTAACTTCAAGAGAACCACTAAATACCGAATCAAGCAAAAGTAAACAAAACTTTCTCAGGAATTAACTAAATACCACGTTTTTTCAATGAGTGTTATCTGCATACATGTGCATAGATCGGAATACAACGGTCTGACGTCACAATCAATGGCAGCGCATTTTGAAAACAATAAAAGTTATTAAAATTTTCATGTAATTTAATTGTGATTGGAATTTTTATTTTTATGGGAACTTCCTTTTGATACTATCTAACAATTAAAATTCTTTTCAAATGATATAGTTATTGCTGGAGCCGTCATTTTATGACCAGTTAGTTAGAAGTCTATTCCACTGTATGTTAATAGACCTGGAGGACGATGGATTATTTCCTTTCTTATTGGTAAACTGGCCGAATCACCTTTAGTAGTCGTGGCATTAGAAGGAAAAATATAATGGTGGTAGCCCTTTTCGCAGTACGTTCGTTCTATGAGAGGAGAGCGACAAATTCGATTACCGTAAGCGATCAGATGCGACCGTATAGGTAGGTATTCGTGTATATCCAACTTTGGACCCTCAAGCCCCTTATACTTTAAAATGGCCAAGTTTACGCGGCTGGATACAAAGTGGGACGTTCGCATTTCCATAGGGACGCCGAACATTTTGCAAATCACGGATTAGGAACAAACTTACGGTTTCGAAAGTTCGATTCCCGACGGTGTAATCTATCGAAGAAGACCCTCGTTTCGGCATCGCGATGGCCATTAGGCGTCTTGTCGTGCAGCGCCACCGAGATTTACTATACACCCACTATATACGTATGCGACCGTAAATTATAGTCGCACGTTTACGTCTTCTGCCACGTTCTTTTTTCGATGATAAACGATGGCCAACATCCCAAAGTATCGAAGGCTTTTTTTTGTCTTTGTAATTGTCGAATTTTATATTTTATTATAATCTTGTTCGTTATCATTTTACTATAAATTTTTACGAAAAAAAAAACAAGTTTTTTAGGATATCGAAAATTTTCGATTCGTTGCTTTCATGTTGCGAGGTCTTGGTCTGGTGGTGGGTTGACCAGATTCCTTGGTCTAGAAGAAAAGAAGGGAATACAATCGCAAATTTTTAATGCTGTTTTCGAACTAGTTTCCGATGTTTGACTAAGTGCGCGTTTGAACGAACGCAAACAACATCAATGAGCTTTTCCTTAAACTGGTTTCGTAATCCTCGAAGGGCGACACCGTGGGAACTCGAAAGCCCGACATTTATACCCCCTGCAATACGGCGCTCACCACTCCATTGTTACAGTCCCACCGA